GACCAGTTGATCAAATCCATAATTCCTCTTTTAGGTTTTAGAGAACAGACTGTGAGAGAGTGTTCCAGGGAAAAGTAAGTAAAAACACAAGACAAGACAAGACAAGGGCATAAGAAGCTAAGCAGGGAAGATAAGGGCAGGAGAGGACAAAAGTGCGACCGTCTTCGCTGAGAGCCAAAAGAGATGTCCATCACAAGGACATTGGCTCGAGCGCGCTGTTGGGGAGAAGCTGGCCCAGACCTGTGTTTGGTCCAAGTACGTCACAGGGACAGCGGTTCGGATACACTGTCGGAGTCCATTTCTGCGTACTATAGTGCACGGAGTGGCGGTGTTCGTTCCTTGGTCCGTAGAAGGCAAGGACCTCACGGGGGACGCCTCATGTAGTAAAATGGGATCTAGATCCAGTAGAGCGGCAGACGTTCCACCAGGCAGCCAGGGACAAAACTCAATATTTGACTGTATGGTTAAGAAATGGGGAATTGGGTGTATGAAATATGTTGTTAAGTGGCAAAAAGTAAACGGGTTTCCCGGGAAGGGATCGCTGAGTGTTAACCAGTTAAAGAAAGTAGAGAAACAGTTGCAGGAGGAGGAAGTGAAATTTTTGAAATAAAGGAAAGTTAACACTGTAGATTTGCGTAGCATAAGCGATGAGAAGGAATGTTTGAAAATGTGGATGATGGAAGCAGAAAGGAGGGAAAAGAAAGCAGCTCTGAAAGAGTTGCCTAGAGAAGTGCATGGAAGGGAAGCTGATGCAGAATCGGCCTCAGCGCCTCTTCCGCCGCCGTATATCAAGGAGAACAAAACATAATTTCCCTGTTCACACACTGTTTGTGCTTCTCCTTGTGCCCTAGTACAAGATGTTTTGCCGGGCCTGAACGCCGATGCCGATCTGGATTCCTTGCCTGACCCTACGCTGGGGGTAAGACACCTGACCTACGAGCATGAAGAAAACACCATGGATATTGTCAGGCTTACAAGCAAAGACAGGTCGAATCTGTGGATTATTTTATACTTCGTATGATAAATGTGTTTGAAGCTAATGGTGGAATACCGAAGGATGACATGACAGGTGTCACCGCCTCCACATGTGAGCACCATCTCTGCGGCCATATTTTACGGGGACTAAGATCAGATGTGGCAGCCGAAGTAAGGTGTTCGCAAGTGGGGAGGGAAAATGAACCTCGGCTAACGGAACTACGACGCCATGCCCGCCACGCTCAGAACCACCTTGACGAAAGTAAAAAGCAAGAAAGAGGAAAAACAGAGTGGCGACCTCCACAACGCAGCCTTAACTCTGTAAAAAGGCCTCAGCGAACCCGCGGGGTGGCTTCCACTGTAAAGGCAGCTGGCGCGGCCGAGGCCGGGGGGGAAGACGTGATCGACGACGTGATCAACGGCGTGATCGACGGCGTGATCGACGGCGTGATCGACGGCGTGATCGACGGCATGATCGATGGCGTGATCGACGATGCGATCAACAACGACAGCAGTGGTGAAGAGACCTAGATGCCTGCTTATCCTGTGGTAAGCTTGGACACTGGAAGCGGAATTGCCCTAACCGAGGCTATCCAAGACGCGAACATCATCAACACTAAAACGACCAAGTGACCAGGGCCAGTGGTGGGTGCAGGCAGACTGAGACCGGAGGGAAAGGACGCCAGAGAACGCTTCAGGCTGTGGTTTTCCCACCTCATCAGAACAGGGAAGTGAAAATCACACACACACACACACACACACACTGACGTAGAAAGTGTTTTACACACAGACACACACACTTTAATACATCACACTTTTGAGCATGTAGAACGGTTTCTGTGTCACCAGCTGGTACATACACTCAACAAAAATATAAACGCAACACCTTTGTTACTGCTCCCATTCCCCATGGGATGGACATAGAGACCTAAAATTCATTCCAGATACACAATATAACCATCCCTCCCAAACAGTGGTCACAAATCAGTCCAAATGTGTGGTAGTGGGCACATCTGCTATATTGAGATAATCCATCCCACCTCACAGGTGTGCCACATCAGGATGCTGATCTGACATCCCTGGAATGTGCATTTTTTTGCGCTATTGGGGGTCTGGGGACCCAGAACCAGTCAGTATCTGGTGTGACCACCATTTGCCTCATGCAGTGCATGGAGTCTATCAGATTGTCAGTTGTGGCCTGTGGAATGTTGGTCCACTCCACTTCAATGGCTGTGCGAGGTTGTTGGATATTGGTGGGAACTGGTACACGCTGTCGTATACGCCGGTCAAGCACATCCCGAACATGCTCAATGGGTGACATGTCCGGTGAGTATGCTGGCCATGCAAGAACTGGGACATTCTCAGCTGCCATCTGCCCAG